TAGTTAAGAATCTGCTTGCCAATGCAGGGTACACGGGTTCGATCTCTGGTTTGGGAAAATCCCACATGCTGCAGAGCGACTAAGCCTGTGTGCCTAACTACTGAGCCCATGTGTTGCAACTACTGAAGCCTGTGTGCCAAGAGCCTGTGCTCTGTAACGGGAAGCCACAAGGAGCAGCCTGTGTACCGCAATGAAGAGCCGCCTCTGCTTGCACAACTAGAGAAGGCCCACATGCACAACAAAGACCCAGTTTAAAAAATAGTGTTTAAAAAGTTTCCAAAAGGCAGAAAAGGATGACGTCTTTATAGAACTAGAAGTCATCACATGGAAAATGAATCTGCACTAATTCAATGGAAACACAGCTGAATCAATTTTCTGTAAAAATTTGGATCTAAAGATGAAATACATATGTATGCACATGAATCTATAATGAATAAATCCTATATAATGTCTGAGAAGACATGGCAACATCCCAGAAAGAGAATACATTACTGCTAATAAAAGGGCTTAGCTGTGTCTGGGAAGAAGCTGTTTCTAATCTTAGCACTCAACTGTGTTAGGATTATGTAGACTGGATTCCTGCCTCTCCTAAGAAACTGGTTATCACACACATTCTAATTATTTCTCAAAGTTTACTCACTAGAGGCACTGGGTTAGGAAACAGACACAAAGTTAAAAGTCACACAACTATTATACACTGCTTTCATAGAGTATAATATTACACACAGCAGATTCCAGTCTGAATATCAGAGATCTAGCAAACTATGATGTAAATAAATGAGATGTTTGAAATAAATTCCCCAGGTGGTTTGCTGCAAATCGTTCTTAGACATATAAATGTAAGCAACATTACCTTATTCCTAGAAGGCAGCGGTTTTTGTAGCATTGTACCTCCCCTAAGTAACATTATTTGCATTCAGATCTTTAAGACCTATCTATTTAATAAAACACTCAGGAACCTTTTGTGATTCTGATCAAGTTGGCCGCTTGTTTTTTATAAAGTTGAGCCAGTCAAGTATGGGAATAACAATGTGTGCCTTAACCAAATTATGTAACCTGGAAAGCACTAACCTACAAAATACTAGACAATATGTCTCTAGAGAAGTCCAGGGGTCATCTATTCTCCCACCAGTCATAAGTTTCTTGAGAGGTGTCAATTTTAACCCTCAGCACAGCTGACTGTTATTTAACCATACCATAACTGACTGGACAGATATTAATTTGAGCAAACTCCAGGAGATAGTGGCTTCCCTTGTGGCTCAGATGGTAAAAAATTTGCCTATAGCATGAGAGACCTGGTTCGATCCCTGGGTTGGGAAGATCTCCTGGAGAAGGTAAAGTGAAGAGGAGTTAAAGAGCCTCTTAATGAAAGTGAAAGAGGAGAGTGAAAAAGTTGGCTTAAAACTCAGCATTCAAAAAATTAGATCATGGCCCTGGTCTCATCACTTCATGGCAAATAGATGGGGAAACAATGCCAACAGTGACAGACTTTATTTTTTGGGGCTCCAAAATCACTGCAAATGGTGACTGCAGCCATGAAATTAAAAGATGCTTGCTCCTTGGAAGAAAAGCTATGACAAACCTAGAGAGCATATTAAAAGGCAGAGACATTACTTTGCTGACAAAGGTCTAACAAAGCTATGATTTTCTAGCAGTCTTGTATGGCTGTGAGAGTTGGACCATAAAGAAGGCTGAACACCTAAGAATTGATACTTTTGAACTGTGGTGTTGGAGAAGACTCTTGAGAGTCCCTTGGACAGCAAGAAGATCCAACCAGTCAATCCTAAAGGAAATCAGTCCTGAATATTCAATGGAAGGACTGCTGCTGAAGCTGAAACTCCAATACTTTGGCCACCTGATGTGAAGAACTGACTAACTGGAAAAGACCCTGATGCTGGGAAAGATTGAGGTGGGAGAAGGGGACAACAGAGGATCAGATGGTTGGATGGCATCACCAACTCAATGGACATGGGTTTGAGCAAGCTCCGGGAGTTGGTAATGGACAGGGAAGCCTGGTGGGTTGCAGTCCATGGCGTCACGAAGAGTCAGACACAACTAAGTGACTCAACAACCAGGAGATAGTGAAGGACAGGGAACCCTCGTGTGCTGCAGCCCAGGGGGTTGGAAAGAGTCAGATACGACTTAGCAACTGAACACCACCACAACACAACACTGAACCAATAAAAAAAGTAACTTCTGACTCTTGGTCCAAGACTTTAGCCCATGGCCAGCTGTGGGCTAATAAGCCATTACTGTTTGCACTCCCGTAACAGGGCCAGCAGGCTGTCTGTCTTTACTCTGACCAGAAAAGATGAACCTCACCTCATGGGCTCTTGCTTAATACAGGTTCTCAAAGAGACTCTACAGATAAGGCAGTGGGAGTGACAGATAAAAGGATTCTGTACATTTAGAACCCAGAGTGGGAGTCAATCACCATGATGGACTTCCCTGATAGCTCAGTTGGTAAAGAATCCACCTGCAATGTAGGAGACCCTGGTTTCATTCCTGGCTTGGGAAGATCCACTGGAGCAGGGATAGGCTACTCACTCTAGTATTCTTGGACTTCCCTTGTGGCTCAGCTGGTAAGAATCCATCTGCAATGCGGGAGACCTGAGTTTGATCCCTGGGTTGGGAAGACCCCTGGAGAAGGGAAAGGCTATCCACTCCAGTATTCTGGAGAATTCCATGGACTATAAAGTCTGTGGGGTTGAAGAGTCAGACATGATTGAGAGACTTTCACTTTCAACATGATGGAAGCGATTTCCATCCCCGAGAGATAAATGGCAAATCTTAGTCCCAGAGGCATTTCATATTACTATTGCATGGTCTACTACTTAATGGGCTTTGGGACCAGTGACAACTGAACATAAAATTTGTCCTGCATACGCCACTGCAAGTGGATGACCTGGAAAGACAAAGATTAATGAACATAAAAAGTGAGCTAGATGTTTGCTAGAAACCAACATAATTCTGTAAAGTAATTATCCTTCGTTAAAAAATAAACATTTTTTTAAAGAAAGTGAGCTAGAATGATCCCCTTGAGAAGGGATAGGAGGAGGAGTGTCGACAGGTTCATGGTCATAGACCCAAGACCATAAGATGGCTCTATTTGATGGACGGAGGGCAGCGAGCATCTGGGACAGTCTCTAATGAGACAAGTCTAGGTTTGGATGAAGAGTAACATTCACATGGGTGCCCTGAAGGGCAATGTACATATTATTAGTGTCTTCTTTATATGAAGACTCTCAAGAAAAATTTTGCTTCTACTTCAGAACTGAGAGTAGCTATGGTATTCCTGAAAAAAAAAAAAAAAATGGTTTTTATCTTCTGAACTTGGGGAATTGAGTAACTGATCATGTACCCTCTGATACCAAAATGATCCAAAATTTTCTCCCTACTTTTAGAAAGAGCTGACTCTTAAAGCACTCTCTGTCAGGCATGGTTCTTAACTGCTTTTCCTAATTTCCAATTCATGTAATCCTTACATTACTATACATGTATTAACTAATGCCATGACCCCAGTGAAGCCAAGATCCTTTTTTCAGATGAGGAAATCCAGGGACAATCAAGCTGTCTAAGGTCACAGAAGCAGTAAGTGCCAGAACTGGGATTAATACCCGGGCAGTCTGGCTCCTTGGTCCATGCTCTTTATTCATGCTTTTCTGTCTTTTACAGTAAGTATAAAGGTCAGCATGTATATTAATCTTACTCTTAGCTTTATCTCATTTTTCCTACTGAAAGCATAACTTGAGATATTACAAGTTTCATTCCAGACCACTGCAATAAAGCGAATAGAGAGATAAAGTGAGTCACGAGAATTTTTTGGTTTCCCAGTGCATATAATAGGTTGCCACCCACCTTCAGTTTGTAAAAAGTGCATTATCTGTGCAGCACGATAAAACATTTGCCTTATTACCTTTCCTTCAACCCAGTTTTTCCCGCTTAACATCTATAAAGAAAATTGTATATGGTGTGACTTTTCTGAGTCCTCCTAAATTCACACCGGAAAAACATAGATGGTTAGACATTAGTCCTTACAGTAATTTATGTGTATTGATCCAAAGTGTCGACTTAACATATAAAAAAATCAGTTCTGGATGCAAGGAGAAACTGAACTCTTTGAGGTCCGGAACCTCGATTGAATGACATTTACACTCTAGAAATGAAAAACAAATATTACTTAGTGTGTACTTTGGGGCTTGGCTCAGGAGGGTTTAAGACTTTAAAGAGAGTAAGGTTAGTTTCCAATCCTGAAGAACGAGGAAGACAGAACTCTGAAACTTGGGCGAATCGGAAATGCTCGCGGAGAGGCTGCCCCTTCCAGGCTGTCTATGTAGCCAGGGAGCTGTGATCCCTCAGTCTGGGAGCTTTGATTCCAGCCGGTTTCCCCTCCGGTCCCATAACACCTAAAGATGTTTTCCAGTTAGGACAACCTCAGAATACCCTTTCCCAAAAGCGCCAGGCGGGAAGCAAGAGCGCAGCCGCCCACCTGAAAGTCGGCTCGTTTCCTCTCTCGGTCTCCTTCGCCCAGAAACCTCAGGAAGCCGTTCCGGCCCCGAGGAGGCCCAGACCAGCCCAACGGCGGTGCACACGCCGCCGCCGCCGCGCGCTTTCCTAGAGGTGCCCCCTCCCCGCCTGCACAACGGCGAGTCTCCCCGCTTCGACCGCCCTGAACCCCAGACCCACCTGCGGCCTCGGAGCCAACAACGACCCCACGATAAAGGACAGCGGCGAGAGCAGCCACTCGCGCCGGCGGAAGCTGCGGCCTCGGGACCCACCATTAGCCGCGTCCGGTCCATGAGAGGGTGGCTCCGGGAAATCATACCTCTTCTTCCCTTGACTGCTCGACTCTTTTCATATTTAATTTTAGCTTCAACACGTTAGAAATCCTTGAGAAGTGAAACTTCGGCCCCAGGTGACGAGACTCGGTGTAAGCACCACACACTTCTTTCAGTTTTGTCCCCCCCTCCCGACCCCCGAAGATGGTATCACCCTGTGTCTCCCCGCCTCCGCGGGGTCGCCTTCGGTTTCAAAATGGCGGCGGCCATTGAGGGGCTTCTCCTGGCTGATCGTCACCGGCGCTGCTGAACCAACGTCAACTTTTCTCGCTTTTGAACGTGGATTCGATTAGGGGGTTGGGAAGGGCAGTGGACCGCGTTGGGGGAGGACTGACGAGGCAAGTGGGGGCGGAAGAAAGCTGTGCGCCTTTGGATGGGGGAGGGGGCGTCTCGGTCCTCGGGGAGAGCTGGGCTCCGACTCCGCCCGGGTCTCCGCGCGGGGACGTGCCCCCCAGGGCTTCGGGTGCGACTGTCCCGGTCGTCCCTGGCGGAAGTACTCAGCGAGGGAAAGACAGTGACTTCTCCATGGATCCAAAGCTCCCGGTCTTTCGTGGCAGTTCCTACGATTCACTCCCAAGCTCTTCTTCCCTCCTTTCTGCCATTTTCCGCCTCCCTTTCAGTCTCTCGATGCTGGAGGAGTTAATCCGACGCCAGCTTCGGTTCCTTAGCCTTTTGGCTAACTTGTTCTCGGCCCCCTTCCTCTGGGTCTTCCCGTCATCTCGTAGTGAGAGACCACGAGGCTACTGGGCACAAAACAGGCGTTGTTTTTAGTTAATCGACTCCAGAAACCTTGAAGACATTACCATGCTTTTGAAAAACAATCTCGGCAACCCACCTCCCGGGCCCTCCCCCGACCCCCGCATCGCCTTTGCGCGCTTCCAGCATCATCACTCTATATACATGCTCAACGGTAAACAGGAGGTCAGAATAATTTTAACTCCGGCGGGTCTGGCTTCCTGTGACCAGGCGAACGTGCGTTATCAATTGCCCGTGCTCAGATTTTTTTTTTTTTTTTTAAGAACCTTAGAGCCTTTTATGAAACTAGTGCTCTCCCGGAACTGATCAAGAGGAGACTTTTCTCACTCGAGCTCCAGAGCTAACCCAGACTCTCGTTTTCCCTTAGATTTTGCATGGTTCCCCGTAGTTGTCATCAGCATATGCAGCCCTGATTGAGAACGAGTGGCTGTGACAGATAATTGAGGTGAAATGGTCAGCAATCCTCGCTCAGAAGGAATTTATATGGTGAGGATTCATTCCGTTCAGTACATATTTGTGTTGCTTTGAGCCCTGTGCTTGACACTGGAGATAAAAAAGATTCGTTTTACTCTTCCCCCATTCATTTAACATCCATTCAACATATATTCTTTGTGCCCACTTGTGTTAACTAAAAATGAAAAACATCGCCTGGAGACACCAAAGTAGCTTTAAAAAGGAGTAAATATTTGAACTGGGTCATTAAGAGTCAAAAGGAAAGTACTAAGATCAGGAAAAGGTCGTCCCTGGATACAGTACAGAGATGCAAAGACTGGAGAACTTTTGGCTTGCTTTACTTTTGGAGAGCAGGAGAAAGCAGGCTTGAGCATGCAGTGCGAGGGTGGTTGATGAAGCAAGAGGGAGATTAAGGTAAACTTGTGAAGGACCTTGCTTTCCAAGGAAGCTGTTCAGACCTAGTAGTTAGCTGGAAATCACAAGAAAGGGGCGCAAGGATATTGGTTTTTTAGGATGGTCTGTCTGATTGCTTTGTGGAGAATCAACTTGGAACAGAAAAACTAGATGAGAGGAAATTACAGTCATTCAGGTAAGGTAATGGGTGCCTCCACTGAGGCGGGAGAGAAAAGGATGTCAGAGAGACTTCTGAAATGTCAAATAGGGTTTAACTGATGGCAGCCAATTTGGTGGTCAGAGGGTGACTTAATTTTTAGTCTGGGAGATTAAGTGGTTGGTGATGCCATTAAAATCAAGTCTAAGACGTGAACGTGAAAATAGTATGATGCTAGCTTGCACTTTAGGAGTGGCAAAGCGCAGTCCAAAGCATTGATTTTAGAGTCTAGACTTGGGCTATTATAGTAGCCACTAGCTACCTGTAGCTGTTGTGCACTTGAAATTGTTGTTGGTTTGAATTGAGATGTGTTGTAATCATAAAATACAATGATTTAGTACCAAAACTCATTAATGTCTTAATAGTGATTACATGTTGAAATGATAATATTTTGGAAATATTGGTTTAAGTAAAAGAAAATTAGTTTCACCTGTAAAACTTCAGTGTGACTGAAAAAATTTTAATTATGTTTGTGGCTTGCGTGATATTTCTGTTGGACAGAGCTGTTCTAGTCTAGACTAATGATACAGGGATTAGTGAGGATGTTAGATTTGAGCTGGGCCTTAAGGTGATAGTAGTGGTGATCTCAGGGCAGCTTGCTGGCGCCCTCCGTTGCCTACTAAGGCATTCAGGTTTTGTTTTTTTAAACAGAAGCCTTCAGAGATTTTTTCAGCCAGGGATCCTATTCAGGGGTGTTTTGGAAGATTAATCCCGCAGTAAATTTTGTGTTGAGATGAAGGAAGGAAAGGCTGCAGGCCAAGAGAAACTCTGAGGTAGTGAGACCCTGTGTAAGGTAAGGGTGCTTGCAATATGAATGGAAGAAAATAATAAATGTACAAAAGCATTCTAAGCGGGAAATAATCAGGAGTTGCTAACAGTCTAATAGCCCAAGAAGTAAAGGAAGGAGTCCAACATGTTGAGTTTCAAGTCTTGGTTACTTAAATAACAACTAGTGAATTCTATGTCAGAGTTATAAGGTACATGTGGGGCTAAAGAAAGTTAGTCTCAAAATAAAACCAGTAAGTTTGAAAGGAGGAAGTGGGCTGCTAAATTCTCTCTTTTTTTAATCTCCCTGTATTCTCTTATCTTCTTTATCTAATCAGTCATGTATACCAGCTAGTTTTTTAAAATACACCGAACTACCTGTATCGTGACATCTTACTTGATAATTGACCTTAAAATGTCTCTGTTGCCTATTCTCTGTTTAGCAATTATAATTAGGTCCAAAGTTTCCAAGGCCTTTCATTAGCTGACCTTTTTCTGTTCATTAAGACGTTTTCATTTTTTTGCTTTCATGAAATTGTGCCAGGCTAGTATTGTTACTGGTACTCTAATAAGTTTTTATTTTGGCTTTTAATCATGTTTTTCTCTTGTTTTGAATACCTTTTCTCTTTATCTCTTTTTACCCATGGCCTACCAGTCCTTAATGAATAATTTAAGATCCCACCTCTTTTATGATTCTCAATAACATAAATTAATGTCAGTTTTAAAAATCTTATTTCCAAGATTTTTTTTTTATAGGACCATATAGTATTCTACTTGCTGCTGTTCACTATCTTTACCTTAGGATAAGACATGAAGTTAAACACAAAAATTAAAAACAGATGTAAATCATTATACCACATTCATGAGACTCTTATTTCTTTATTTTTTAGATATGTAAAGAAGTCTTCCTTTGAATTCATGGTGTTTCATCCCAAATACAACTGAGATACCGGTAAGTAAAGAGTGTCTAATAAAGATACAGTTTTATTGTATTATAAGCAATTATAATAAAAATATCTTTTCATCTGTTGCAATCTGGGTTCGTCTGCAAAAGTAATAAATGAGCTCATTCAGTTCTATCTGTAAGACGCTTTGTATTTTCATGTCATAATCTAAATAAAGAAAGTGGGAGAGTAAAGTAGATTTAAGTTGGAAAAGAATTTCTCTTAGGCCAATATTATAATTGTGGTACATGGAGCTTTTTGACAGGGAGATCCAAGTCCTATTTTAAACTGTATAAACACGTTTCTTCAAATAGAGAATTAGTATCTGTGTAGTTCTCATCCCTTAAAAATAGGAACAGACTAAGTCAATGTATTTTTAATTTCAGTTTATTTGTTTTAGCAACAGTGATTATTAAACATCCACTGTATAAGACGTGCTCATATAGTAAGGATACAAACATAGATCAAACCTGGTCCTGCACCCAGAGAGCTCTCCCAAACCAAAGAAAGTACATGTAAATAGGTAGCAGTTCAGTTCAGTTCAGTTGCTCAGTCGTGTCCGACTCTTGGCGATCCCATGGATTCCAGTATGCCTGGCTTCCCTGTCCATCACCAACTCCCAGAGCTTACTCAAACTCATGTCCACTGAGTCAGTGATAACATCCAACCATCTCATCCTCTGTTACCCCCAGTTTCCCCCTCAGTCAGTCTCTCCCACCGGGAAGCTTCCATAAGCCTCTTTTCCTTCTCCATCAGGGGGCAGAGAGAATGAAAACCACAATCACAGACAACTAACCAGTCTGATCACATGGACCACAGCCTTATCTAACTCAATGAAACTATGAGCCATGCCGTGTAGGGCCACCCAAGATGGACGGGTCATGGTGGAGAGTTCTGACAAAACGTGGTCCACTGGAGAAGGGAATGGCGAACCACTTCAGTATTCTTGCCTTGAGAACCCCTTGAACAGTATGAAAAGGTAGCTGTTAATGCTTTGGAAATAGCACTAAGCTCATTTAAGACTAGCCGTCTTCATTTATTCATTTAAGAAGCACTTATTGACCACCAATGTGTTAGGCACTGTAGGGGTGCTAGAATATAATCAGAAGAGACAAAAGTCTCTTCTTTCATAGAGTCCTTATTCTGGTGTAGGGGTTAAAAGGAGATAAGGGGTTGGACAAAGTGATCAAATAAGCAGCAAGTACAGGTGGATACTATGTATTTTGAAGAAAATAGAAGGAAAATACACACTATAGGATGTAACTTAGGTGGGGTGGACTTTAGGATGGTTAGAAAATGTCTCTGAAAGAGAATTTGAGGTAGGGAAAACAATAACTCACACTAGTTAGAGATCTTGGTGACAGTGGAGATAGAAGGAAATATATGAGAAATTATTATAATTGAGAAATAGAATAGAGGTAAAAAGGAAGGATTTACTGATGGGTTAGATGTGAAAAACAAGTAAAAGATCAAGGATGATGCCATCAGAGACCAGATGATCTTAAAGCTGGAGGACTGTAAGATTACCTCGAGAGAAAAGAGAAAGTCATGCAGAAAAGCACTGCCTCATATAGAGGTTGGGGGAGAAGAAGAAATTAATTGAGGAGAGTGAGGAATGGCCAGTTAGATATAAGGAAAATCAGGAGATGGTTGACCCAGATGATCAGAGGAAGGTGTTTCTGGGAAGATGGAGCTATTAATTTCATTGAATGCTGCTACGACTTCCAGTAAGTTGGGACCACAGAAATGTCCACTGGCTTCAGTTGTATAGAGCTTTGTCAGTGACCTTCATGAAAACTCTTCTAGTGATATGGTGAAGAAAGACGTCAGATTCAGTGGTTTGAATGGGAGATGAGAAAGTAGAGACATGTCTGTGGACAAATAATTCTGAGAAATTTTGCTGTGAAAGGAGAGCGTGGAAGTGATAAAGCAGTTGCAGGGGACTGTAGGATTGAGAGAGGGTTCTTTTAAGATGGGAAATTCTAGAGTATCTTTGTATGCTAACGGGAATGGTACATTGGTGATCCATTGATGACGCAGAAGAAAGAGGGGATGACTGGAGAAGTTGTGTAGAAGATAAACAGGAGTGGAATTCAGAGCACACACACAGGATTTGTTCTGTGTGATGGGAGACACAACAGCGTTCGTACAGATAGGTTAATGTAGTAGCTATGGTATTTGGAAAATGTGGAGTTACTGTCTGATTACTTTTGTCTTCTGATTGAGGAATGAGGTGAGATTATCAACAGAGTAGGGTGGAGGGAAGGGTGTGTGATGCTTGAGCAGAGAAGAGATGTGAAATGGTGGTCTCAGATGGAAAGTCAACCTACTAAGAAAAATCAGATTGGTAGGTAGGACATAGTGCCTGTTGGAGATCTTTGACCATGAATTTAAAGAGCAAATAGCATAGTTGTGTGATTGGTTTTTTGCCCCACTCTGGCAGCACTGAGCTGCTTGAAAAGACAAGGTACATGATTGGAGTTAGTGAAGGTTAGGATTTTGCCAGACTTGTACAAAGAAGGACTAGAGCTGCAAAACACTTGAGTATTTGCAAAATAATCATGATGGCTTGTGGATCCATATAACGTGAGTGGAGACAGGAGGTGGTCATGGACAGTGAAAAAGTAGTCAGTGAATTAGAGATGATACAGTGAGGCTGAGGGGTTTTTGCAGTGGGAATTCTAGAGTAGTGAAGGTGGGAGTGAGACGGGGAGATAGTTGAAGGTGAAATTTTGAAAGTGTTGCAGCTTATTGGTCATGATAAGGTCATGGTTGTGACTGTGGTGCCAGGTGGCTGAAGTGAAATGAAGATTATTGGAGTTGAGAAAGTCAAGGAGAGAAGAGGTCAGTAATGAAGCTACTCAGAGGAAGACTGTCAGGAACTAAAGTCCTCCATTAATGAGGAAGGACAGGAAAGGCTCACAGCGAGCTGGCTTGGGCAGCATGAGTTCAGCGGGACTAGAATGTTTCCAGGAGGAAGGAGAAGACGTGGGCTGGAGGCTGCAGTGATGAATAGGGAGCACATGCTTCCTGCATCTGAGGTTAGGGAATACAGGAGAAAAAAGGCCTCTTGAGAAGGCTGGAAGAGAAACAGTATCATTTGAGAAGAGCTAGGTTTCTGTGATGATTTGCAGATGAGGAAAACCTTCAGAGAAGAGGGTGAAATTCTCAGTGAGTATAATGGTTCCAGAGGGAATACCAAAAGGATTTGGAAGGCAGAAGAGGTAGTGAATTGGTCCCAGAAGGTGGACGTCAGTGATGATGGACAACCTCAGAGTCTTGGGTCTTTGGCTGTGACTGAAATAAACAGGGATGGGAGATGTGGTGACAGTCTGTTAAGAAAGCTGGGCAGTTTACCTTAATTTGTTGATGTGACCTTGGGCAGATGTTGAAGGATCATCAGATGTGCAATGACCTTCTCTCTCTTTTTTTCACATAATAATAATTTTAATAATAGATGCTATAGAGTAACATTAACAGTAATGAAAAGGCGCATTAATTAGAGGGAGGTCTAATAACTTAGAAAACTTTTGAATTTTCCAATGTCCCCTTTTCTTCTAAGCACTCTAAGGATAAATAACTGTGAATGAATAATTCTCTTACTTTCATAGTTACCCAGAAAAGGCAGATTTATTTTAAGAACCTAAGACCTGAAATCTTGCTGTGGAGTTGTGCTTTGCATATGAATGTTTTTAACATCTATATAGTAGCGCACAATTCTAGGTCCTAAATCCCAATAGATGGTTCATGTTGGATCTTCTTGAAGTATGTAGTAAGTATCCCAACTGTATTCCATCGGATATGTTTTGAACACCTACTCTGTGTCAGATTCTCTTCAGGAAGTGCAAACTATAAGGCACTACAATTGTTTTCAGTTGCTCACATTCTGGTGCAAGGCTTCTTAACAAAATTCCCTGAAAAATATGTGAATTGCTACATGAACATGGACCGTTTTGTTTTCTTAAGGACTGAGGGGAGCAGGAAAGATCCATAGCTTTTTATCACATTGTCAAGTGGTCCTTTATTTAAGGACCACTGGTTTAGTGGTAGAAGACGACACATAAACTAATAACAGTGTAATGCAATGAAATCACTGCTGTCTCAGAACAAAATAAAGGAGGAGCAGATTCACCTTGAAGAATAAGTTCACTAGTACACTACATTTATTTATTGAGAAACTTGGTAGTCTCCATTCTAGGTAATTTATACATTATTTGAAATCTTCCAACATCCTTTTAATATATATATTAATATTAATATTTTATAGGATGCATAAGTGAGGGGAAATTTAACTAGCATGCTCAGAACCATATAAGCATATATTCAAATACAGGTCAGTCTGATTCCAAAATCTACTACTTTTCATCAAACCACATTGGGGGGGCCACTGAAGAACTCTATAAACAGGAGGGTGTAAGATTATGTTTGTACCTTCACACTTAGCAGTGGTGGAAATAGGTCTTTAAAATGACTGTGCTTTTATGTTTAACTATGTTTTTATTTCTGTTGAAAGAACCTTTTGGATTGTTGTTATTGGACTGAAAAAAATGACATCTATTATCAAATTAACCACCCTTTCTGGGGTCCAAGAAGAATCTGCTCTTTGCTATCTTCTCCAAGTCGACGAGTTTAGATTTTTATTGGACTGTGGCTGGGATGAGCACTTTTCTATGGATATTATAGATTCCCTGAGGAAGTAAGTTACTGTTAATATTTCTACACTTTTAGAAAATCAACTTTTCTATGTTGTAATGCTATTTTGATATTACACAATGTTTGCTGTTTTGCTCTAATTTAGTTGATAGTAAAACAATTTTATTTAAACTGAAGAACCAAATAATGACTTTTTATTTGCGTAGTTTTGATCGACTTGTAAACTGTGTTTATTGAAAGTCAGCAAAATCTTAAGTTGTTACTTGATCAATGGATCTCAGTAGAAATTTTTGCACCCTAATTTTAGAAAAGAGCAAAATTAAGTTTATAAGAATTTGAAGAGAGGAAAACTGTCCTTGTAAAAGTTCTGCAGTCAGATCAAATTAGCTTATTTTCTTTTAATCTTTTGATGCTTAGACATTTGAGAATTGGTGCTTAGAATAAAGACCATGAAATTCAAAAGGATCTAATCCATCAAAGAAAAATTTAGTTGTGTTAGCAGTATTGTACTAATTATGGAATGAACAAGAACTTAAACTTAGAACTTATAGCAAAATATTTTTTTCTTATTTCTTTTGTTAATTAGAATATATTATTCATTGACTCAAGTTACACTATCGTGAATATGCTGTCAGTCATTATGCCAAAAAGCTGAGACAAAAATCCATAATAAATATGTGGCCTTTTAAATGTCCTTTTCTTAACAATTTCTTAAATCCTGAGTTCTTGAACTTTAATAGTATGTAAGATAACCTCTTGAAATCAGTTTACGTGTGGTGTCTACTGTTTTCCTTTCTTTTTTAAAAAAAAAATGTGTCTAGATGCTATGTATTTATGTGCAACTCATATCACAGTTTTGATCTCTATGTAGGACAGGGGTAGTAGTAATTGAAATTCATAGATAATGTAATTTTAGCTCTCAGTTGCACATGGGGTCACAAAGACTCAGACATGACTGAGCGATTTCACTTTCACTTTCTCTGTTTTAGCCCATCATCATCTTCAACTCAGAATACTGAGAGAAATCAGAACTGGCAAATTAATTTTGAGTATAGTGCCTTTTCCTTTAGGAACAAGACTCAGTAATAGTCATCTTGCTTGTGTTCTAGGCATGTTCACCAGATTGATGCAGTCTTGTTGTCTCATCCCGACCCCCTCCATCTTGGCGCCCTCCCCTATGCTGTTGGAAAGTTGGGTCTGAACTGCGCCATCTATGCAACCATTCCCGTTTATAAAATGGGACAGATGTTCATGTATGACCTTTATCAGGTAATTTAAGCAATTAAAGAAAAAACTGTTTTAACACCCTGGCAGTGATAATTTTTAACCTTTTATTTGTTTTTTTTTTTTTAAGTCCCGACACAATACAGAAGATTTTACACTCTTTACCCTAGATGATGTGGATGCAGCCTTTGATAAGATACAACAGTTAAAATTCTCTCAGATTGTGAATTTGAAAGGTAAAACCTGTTTCCAGTAACAAATAATTGGACTAATGGTGTTTGAACTACTGAAAAGTACATGGGAAATTTGTAGTAAAAATTCTAGGCACTATTGTCTAAAGAATAAAACATCAGCATTATTCCATAGGGAACCGTGAGCTACCCCCAAATCATCTGAATTTTAAAATATTGCAGGCTAAATTCTAATAAAATGTAACAACTCAGGCCTCCTTTTCAGGTTTAATTTAGGAACGCTTACTTAGTGTTCACTATATGTAATGCACAAAGGTAGCATAGTCAGATTCTCTTCCAAAGAGCTCACAGTGAGGTTGAGGAGGAAAAGTAGCTCCGATGACCGGACGGAGTGGTGGAAGTAAATGAAGTGCTGTGGCAGCACAGAGTAGAACACGGCTGAATTCTAGGATTGAATATGAAAAAGACTTGTCATTTAATTAGGGCAGGAAGTCCTAAGTATGTATTTATCTTCTGTGGAGAGAACCATTTACATAGTTTCATAAATATGATACCATAAATATGAAAAAATGGTGCACAGATGGACTCTGAGGTTTAGCCAGGAAGTAACAATGGTCTCAGCCGTTTGGCTGGTACTTAGTTTTCTAAAGGATACATTCTTTACTAGAATGAGATTTGAATTGTCAATTTAGAGATTAGTGAAGATGGAAACACTTCATAATTTATGTGCACAATATGAACAATAAAGTTTATTAGTTCATACTAAGTTATTGAATAGTAGTGGCAAGCTCTAGCCTTTTATTTTTCAAGCACAGAATGCACAGATGCATAATAAAATTATAAGAGTGCCTCCATGAAGGTATGAGGTAGCTGGGGGACTGGAGAGTGAGACTTGCTTTTCACCGTATGCCTTTTTAGTTGTGAATTTTGTATCATTGCACGTGTTACTTATTAAAGAATAGCTAATAATAAATAACCTTTCTTTAGATTTGTAATAAGAAATCTGATTATTGTCATTATCTTGTTGACCTAGGTAAAGGACATGGCTTGTCTATCACACCTCTGCCAGCTGGTCATATGATAGGTGGAACAATATGGAAAATAGTCAAAGATGGAGAAGAAGAAATTGTTTATGCAGTTGACTTCAACCACAAGAGGGAGATGTAGGTATATTAAGATAAAAGCTAATGGAAATGTAGCTGGTCTTGCTTCATTGTTTGGAGGGAAATTTAAAAACAAAGTTTTCTTTAAACTAGAAATCTAGAGCAATTTAAAAGTTCCAAATAGTGAATGTTTTCAAAGTTACTTAAATTATTTGCATTGTAAGGAAAAAAGTTTAATATGAGATAAAAGATATTGTTTTGAAATTTACATGCAGATATCTACTCTATAAAACAAGTATCTCTCTGGAGATGTTGCATAGGAGATTAATTTTTATACATCAAATTATATTTTATATTTTCTTGACTCGCTATTTAGAGGAACTTTGCAGGTGGGTTTTTTTTTTTTGATAAAATTCATTAATACTATCTAATGTAATGATTTAAAGTCAACCTCCTTTTAGAAGAGTGGGTAGTGTATCCCTTCTCCAGCGGATCTTCCTTACTCAGGAATCGAACTGGAGTCTCCTGCATTGCAGGCCGATTCTTTACTAAGCTATCAGGGAGGTCAACTGAAAAGGGGACACAGTAGTTTCATTTTAAAACTTCATTTTGGACTTACAGATTGTTTTGTTTTCTTTTGTAATTTTTTTACATTAAGTACATAACTTTTATATTAGATTATATATCCTTAAGATCTTTTGTATCATATTAAGAAACATTTAAGACTAATATGTTGAATTTTAGGCTCTTGTAATTACAGGTTAATGAAAAAAAATGAGTATTTGAGTGAATGATATTTGAACATTTTTGGAAAAACCTCAGTTTATGTCTTTTTTATATCACTTAATAAGATAAATTTCAGGTGGATTAGAATTAAATAGAAAAGGAAATAATACTGGTGAGTCTGATTTCTTGATTTGGAAAAGACTTTGGTAAGCAGAAAGGAAATGGACCAAATTATAAAGGAAGACTCTGCTACATTTGATTACATATATGTTCAAAATGTCTGAAACAATAAACTAAGTCAGGGCTTCCCTGGTGGCTCAGTGTAAAGAATCCGCTTGCCAATTAGGAGACATGTGTTCAATCCCTGATGTGGGAAGATCCCACAGGCCACGGAGCAGCTAAGCCCGTGCACCACAACTATTGAGCCTGTGCTCTAGGGCCCAGGAGCTGCAACTACTGAGCCATTTCTCGCGACTACTGAGCCTGTGTGCCATAGAGCCCGTGCTCCGCAGCACAGAGAAGCCTGTGCCCCACAATTAGAGCAGCCCCCACTCCCCGCAACTAAAGGAAGAAAGCCCGTGCAACAATAAAGACCCAGCAGAGCCAAAAATAAATAAATAAAAAATTTAAAAAAGAAGTAAATTAAAAGGCTATAAACTAGGGAAAATATTTCCATAAAGTTGATCAAAGACTTATTTGTAAGACAAGGTATTAATCAATCAGAAAAATACCAGTTGCAAAATGGACATAAGTGATAAAGTCAAAAAAGAGAAAATCTAAATGATAATGATTTTTTAAAATTAAATACCATTAAAATTGCTTTTAAATGGTAGTGTTCTTCTGGGAATTATTTAGTGAGTTGGTCATTGTTTCTGGTTGAACCTTTCTGGAAAAGGGAGAGCTTTCTCAAAAGGGTCAAACCTTTCTGGAAAGCCATTTAGCAATATTGTATATTTTAGTAAAAACATTTCTAGGAATGTGTCCTTAAAGAAACAATTAGAAATGCAGCAGAAGCTTTTTGCAAAAGTTTTCTTTGAGAGATTATTTATAATGACAAAAAAAAGTAACCTAAATATCAATAAAGGGAAATGACCAAATATTTATTGTACAAATACACAGAAAGCTTTTATAATTGTTAAAAATTAGATTTGGAAAATGATTTTAATGTCATGGGAGAAAACTAGGGTATAAACTGAGTATATAATCATCTACATGAGATACCACTTTAGTAAAATACATACACAGATATATGCATAGAGAAATATGTACTTAGAAGGATATACACTAAAATACTGTGGTGATTATCTTTGGGTGATGGTACTTTGGAAGAGCTTAGTTTTCCTTTTTTGAATTTACTAGATTTTCTTATCAGTGAGCATGTATACTGTTATAGTTAGAAGAGGAAAAAAGCCTTATAAAAAGAAGGTTTTTTTTTTTTTTGGTAAGAAAATCTGTTGTTTATTTGAAGTGATACAAAGTATTCCTGTTCTTCAACTTCCTTATAGCCACTTAAATGGATGTTCCCTGGAAATGCTAAGCAGACCCTCCTTACTTATCACAGACTCATTTAATGCTACCTATGTGCAGCCCAGGAGAAAACAAAGAGATGAGCAGCTTCTGAGTATGTATTGCTTACAGTCCTTTCTACAGAGCTGTGGAGGTGCATGGTAGTATGAATGACTGCTTGACATTTTTCTTGTCATAAGAGATTGGTTAACTCTCCTGTTTTTAAGAGAATATTATGTAACTGTATCAATATTTTTACAAAAAGATGCTTTTGTTGGTTTGAATTTAACTTTTGTGGGATAGGTATAAAGGTTGGTTTCTTCCTGCTATTCAGCACATAGCTAGCTTTCCTTGGCCTCATTGAACATCAGACAACATAGAACATCACAACATATAAAGATCTCATATAAATATTAGAAAAACATTTATACTCAGGAAAATGAAGGAGATAAATGAGGGTGTGCATAGTCTGCTGACTTTGGTGTTTGGGTGTTTTATACTCTAATACAGTAGTCTTGGTTCTAAAGAGATGCATCCAGGCCATCCCTGGTTGCTTCTGCTCTGGCTTGAGCCCTTTTATCTTTTATTCTGTTTTTGTAAGCTGCACTGGAATTCAGCAGGGTAAATCGGATTCCAATTTCAACATGTTTGAAACCACCACCTTCATTTATCTACTTAAAAAGTATGACTTATATACTATGTTACTCTAAGATGATTTTCAATTCTTGGATTTTTTTTGTTGTTTATTTTTGCTAGAGTTTGATTTAACTAAATATTTCCAAGCAGATTTTCATCTAGAAAGTCTTTTATTGTAAGAAGGAATGTTAATTTATCTTTTATTCTATAGGCATACATACATATAATGCATGTATGTATTAAAGTATAAGTGTGTGTGTATAAATTTGGGAATTATGTTTTGTAATGAAATTCATGGAAGTGAGAGGTGAGGTGAGGCAGGTGAGACCAGAGTGACCTGGAAATACAAAGCTGATTGTGTTTGGCTTGTTAGCCCAACTTTCCCAATATATTATACAAATGTCATTTTCTGTGTGTACTATGGGTGGAAAGGGTTAGAAACCATGATTTATAATTTTTCAATTAAAAAAAATAGTTAATGGCATTGTTATAAACCATAGTCTTAATAGTGAAAACTTGAAGATAAAAGTTATCTTTAATCTTATAGCAAGATATTGTTATGTTCTATTGGGATTTTACATTCTTATTTTCTAGCAAATGTCCTGGAAACACTTCGAGGTGATGGAAACGTATTAATAGCAGTGGACACTGCAGGCAGAGTTCTGGAACTTGCTCAACTCCTTGATCAGATTTGGAGAACTAAAGATGCTGGATTGGGTGTTTACTCATTGGCACTCCTCAATAATGTCAGTTATAATGTGGTGGAGTTTTCTAAGTCCCAGGTTTGTTTTCATGTTATGTGTAATAAAGAAGTTTGCTACAGAAATTGGACTTCTGGAAAACAGTATCTTAAATGCTCTTTGAATTTTCTTTTTCTGTCGAGGTTGATGATAATAATAATGATGATGATATAAACTAAAAATCAACCACTTACTTTTATGTATTCTTTACATGTATTATTTCACTTAATCCTTAAATATCCTGTGAAGTAGGTTCTGTTTTTGTTCCCCTTTTACAGATTGAGTAGGTTGCTTCTCTAATGCTTAGTATCACAATCTGTAAAATAGGGATAGAAATAGAACCCACCTCTTGGGATATAAATGTTAGAATTCATTTTTCTCTTCCTTTTGAATAAGCTCTTTTTCTTGAAATAGCCATGTCTGGGGTAAGATATTCATTTAGGACTTATATACTACCTTCTGAATAAGATTTAAGGTGACATAACTGAAACGTGATGTAAAATTATAGATTTTTACTGATGAACATTTGACTGAGAAGATTTGTTGGGGAGTAGAAACAGAAAATAAGCTACTTGTCAGCATGGTACAAATTTAAGCAATCATTGGTGGAAAAAAGACTTAAGATGGAGCTTGAACTCCTGAACTATTGTAGAATACATTCAAGTTATAATGCAGTATTTTCTAATTATTGCCATCTTTTCCCCCCCCATTATTAGGTAGAATGGATGAGTGATAAGTTGATGAGGTGTTTTGAAGACAAAAGAAATAATCCATTTCAGTTTCGTCATCTCTCTCTATGTCATGGTCTTTCTGACTTGGCTCGAGTACCTAGCCCTAAAGTTGTACTTGCCAGCCAGCCTGACCTGGAATGTGGATTTTCAAGGGATCTCTTTATTCAGTGGTGCCAGGACCCTAAAAACTCGATCATTCTAACTTACAGAACTACTCCTGGGACTTTAGCACGTTTCCTAATTGATAATCCTTCTGAAAAAGTTACAGAAATAGAGGTAAGTGCTTGTGTGTGAACCTTATCTTGAAATTGTTTGGGGGATACGTTATGCATGATGTTTATAACAGTCAGTGACCAAAAATAAAGCTTGAAGTTGTTCCAGGATTTTTGTCAGGCTGGTAGTAGAGGGGCTTTAACAGCACACGTTTCAGAGCTCCTTCATTGGTAGTTCTCAGTATCAGACCCTTCCATGGTACCCTCTGGGACCATACTCAGAGAGTATGCATACATGCTGTATTCTCATTCACTCTTTGAAAAATTCCTTTCACATTTCCCCCATGATTGAAATCTGGCTATTTCCTAAGATTTCTTTTTCCAGTAGCCTTCTCTTTCATGCTTTGTGTATTTGAGTGGCATAGGTGTCCTTGTTCTGCATTGTAGCTTTCAAGCTATTTCTCTTTCCTCTGTAGTTCATGCCATCAGACTTGAAAATAAGCTGACCTCTTCTTGTTTCAGACACTTACTATTCTCTTAGTCATTCTCTGTCATTCATTGGTGACTTTAGACCCTGGTTCACAGCCTTCCTGTCCACTCATACTCAGGACTTCACTCGTGATGACTTTAGGATCCATATGTATGATTTACCCTCTCAGTTCCTTGACACTTTATTTCTTTTCTTTTTAAAATTAGTAACAGTTTAGGGATTGGGGGCAGGAGGAGAAGGGGATGACAGAGGATGAGATGGTTGGATGGCATCACCGACTCGATGGACATGAGTTTGAGTAAACTCCAGGAGTTGGTGATGGACAGGGAGGCCTGGCGTGCTGCGATTCATGGGGTTGCAAAGAGTTGGACGCGACTGAGCGACTAAACTGAACTGAACAGTTTATTATTTATATCTTTGTGACCCTATGGACTGTAGCCCTCCAGGCTCCTCTGTCTATGGGATTTCCCAGGCGAGAGCACTAGAGTGGATTGCCATTTCCTCCTCCAGGGGATCTTCCTGACCCAGGGATTGAACCCACATCTCTGTCTCCTACATTGGTGGACGGGTGCTTTACCACTCAGCCACCTGGGAGGCCCCAACACTTTATTTCTTATTTTTTTCCTTCTACTCCATGTCAGCCATCCCTTCCCACGATCGTGCTGTCCACTCCCATGGGCATACCTTTAACCTTGTTATGATCTTCAGATCTCTCCGTCAAGCAGACCACTCTGGTCTCATAGCCGACTTTCTCTGCTACTCCCATGCCAACAATGCTTTGGTCCTGCTGGGACTTTGAATTCATGAACCTCATCACTTCTACTTAATCATCACTGCTGTATCTTCTGGTCAATGGTCCAGCATTATTTTGCAGACACCTTTCTTTTTATTTATTTATTTGAAGTATAGTGTGATTTACAATGAATGATTCAAAGTGATTCAGTTTTACATATGTATACATATATTTTTTTCTCATATTGTTTTCCGTTATAGATTGTTACAAGATGTTCAGACAGATATTGTTACAAGATATTTAACTCTTTTACCCTTCTTTCTGTTTATTGTACTTGCCTAGCAGACTCTAGTTAAACCATTTGCTTAGTTCGTGCCTGTACATAAGCAGTCTGATATTACTTGAGTTAAATACACTGTGTGGACAGATTTCCCTTCGCATTATTGACCTCACATCTCAGACAGGCACCCAACACCAGCACTCCACATTCTGTGGGATAGTGCTTTTCCCATTCTTCAGGAAGACAGTACCTGCTTTCTCCACAAATATCTTACAGCCCATCTCAGCCCTCACCTGTAGCACGTGACCTTGTTTGAAACTTAACTGAGAAGTAGAAGCAGTCAGGTAGGAATTCTCTTACCTTCTCATCACTAAATAGCCTAATCTGTGTTGCATCCACATTGCGGCCTTATCTCCTGGTACGGGAGCAACATTTAGCCAAATGATCCAGAAGCCAAGAGATCATTTTGCTTAGTAACCAACACATCAAATCTGCCAATTTTTCAAAACCAGTATCATTTGTTAGGTTTCCCAAGTAGCTCTAATGGTAAAGAATCCGCTTACCAATGCAGGAGATGCAAGAGATGCTGATTTGATTCCTGGAGAAGGAAATGACAACCCACGCCAGTATTCTTGCCTGGAAAATTCCATGGACAGAGGACCCTGGTGGGCCACAGTCCATGGGGCCGTAAAGAGTTGGACACGACTGAAGTGAATTGATACTGAATAGTTAATAGCTGCCATTCTTGTGCATACTTTTATGATTACTTTTTATTTTGTCTTCATAGCAGTGATTTTAAGGAATGTTTAGTTTGTGAAAAGCTAAGTGGTAAGGGTATCTTAATCTTTAACTCTGCTTAGTCCCTGTGTGCTAAGTTGCTTCAGTTGTGTCCCTAACTCTGCTTAAAAAAATCATAAATAGTGACTAAAACCTGATATACGTTCACTATAAAAACAGGAGTGTTGAGGGAAGATGTAGAGCAGGCACATCAAAGTAAAATGCATACCATCTTTTGGGCTATTTAATAGGTTAGAAATATAAAGTTAAAAGAAAATACGAAGTTCAAAACTTGAAACAATTTCATCAGATACAAAATACTAAATTTGAAAATATTAATTACTGGAAATACAATGAAGACTGGTATGCCATTTGAGGAATTAATAAAAGACTATGAAAAGTGATTTAAGTTTGAAAAAGAAAATGACATTCTGAGCTGAAAATGTTTTAGGTTTTTAATATTTTGGTAAGTAATACTTAGGTCTAGGGTCTTTGCCCTCTCACCTTGTCAGGGATATTTCTATGTGGTTGTCCTTTTCCTCTCCAGTATCTATCGCCTCTTTCCTTTGTCACATCCAAAGTGATTTTCACTGTTCCTTGTCCCCGAAACTTGTTCTTTTCTGAGTCTTCCTCATCTCATGGAATAGCAGCACTTTCCACATACCTACTCAAGCTCTAAGTATAGATAATTTTGAAACATACATTGACATATAATACATACATGTAATACATACATATAATATAAAGTTTGTATATTGTAATCAAACAGCATGATAAATTTTCACAGATTGAACACGCCTGTCTAGCTTATACTCAGATCAGAAGTAAACTATTACCAATTCTCCCAGATGCCCCCTTCCTCATCCTCCCTATCTTTCCAAGGGTAACCACTTTTCAGACTTCCTATGCACAGACTATTAAAATTTATTTTCATTTCCTTACTTTTCTTCCTTGTGTGTGTTAGTCACTGTGTTTGTGTGTGTGTGTCTGTGTGCTTCGTCGTGTCAGGCTCTTTGCGACCCGTTAGACTGTAGCCTGCCAGGCTCCTCTGTTTATGAAATTTTCTAGGCAAGAATACTGGAGTGGGTTGTCATTTCCTCCTCCAATGGATCCTCTCAGCCCAAGGGTGGAACCTGTGTTTCTTGAGTCTCCTGCATTGGCAGGCGGTTTCTTTACCACTGGCGCCACCTGGGAATTTTCTCTCATTACCCATATCCAATCCAGGAGCAATTCCTATTGACGACTTCCAGATATATCCTAAATCTGTCTGCTTTTCTCCAGCTCCACTCCCGTCATCCTGGCCCATGGTGAGGGTCTTGTCTGTGCTGTGCAGTGGTTTCCTAATTGACTTCACTGTTTTTACTCTTATGCTCACTCAATGCTCTGGGGAAGGCAACGGCAACCCACTCCAGCACTCTTGCCTGGAGAATCCCATGGACGGAGGAGCCTGGTAGGCCGCAGTCCGTGGGGTCGCGAAGAGTCGGACACGACTGAGTGACTTCACTTTCACTTTTCACTTTCATGCTTTGGAGAAGGAAATGGCAACCCACTCCAGTGTTCTTGCCTGGAGAATCCCAGGGACAGAGGAGCCTGGTGGGCTGCCGTCTATGGGGTCGCACAGAATTGGACATGACTGAAGCGTTTAGCAGCAGCAATGCTTTATTCTTGTAGCACCACCCAAAGACATGTCTTTTCCTTGCTCTCTGTCTCTGTCTCTCTTGTTTTATTGTTTTAAGACCATATAACATGAAATTTACCATCTGAACCATTTTTAAGAGTCTAGCACAGCAATGTTAACTGTGTGAATACTGGTGTGCAATAGACCTCTAAAACTTTTCAACTTGTAAAACCCAAGCTCTGTAATCATTGAACAACCCCCAAAGGCATCTTTTAAAAATTTAATGTTTCATGTCACTCCTTTGCTTGAACCCTCTGGAGACTTCCTTCTCTTTGAAAAAAATTCAGACTACTTTCCCAGGGTTTCAAGGTCCCACTGACCTGATCTCCATCCACTTTTCTGACTGTATTTCATTCTGCTTTCTTTCTGCTCCACACTGCTTCACTGCATCCGGGGCTCCTTCTGCCTCTCATGTTCCTTCACAGCTTTGCCCCTGTTTACGCCTTTACTCAAGTCTCGGTCGAAAGGTCACCTCCTCAGGTAGGCCTTCTCTGACTACCAGTCTACTACTCAGTTGCAAACCCACCACATTATTTTCCCTAGCTGTCATTACTGTCGGTTATTTTTTCATGAGAAAGGGATCTTGTCTTTTTATATCCACTAGTACATGGAAGGTCCTCAATAAATGTGTAGGTTAAATTCATGAAACACCAGATGAGTAAATATGTAATAAACCTGACTTCTGATCATGTTAGATAAGAGTTTACTATGTATGGTTTTTTTCATCTACATTTATCCTCCTCTAGAGTCAAATCTTACGCATTTAAAAAGAGCAAAAACAGTAAATAAATAAGGATTAATGAATTTGAGTAGATTTGATTAAGAAAAAGGAATAACTTGGAGACAATGCAGTGAAAAACTAGGAAGAAACAATCTTAGGGTTGATTATCCTAGAAATCTGCTTTTGAATTTAGCCATTAATTTTAGCTATCTTATGTGAAATAAGACGGAAAGTAAAATTTATTATAGCAATAGGCATAAGCTAAATCACGGGGTAAATGTTTTGTTCAAGTTTATTTGTGGTTAAGACAGACAACTGTGTAAATTGCCAACTGTGTACTACAGAAAAATAATGATACTTTTCTAAATTGAACTTATATTCAGGTATACTACTAGGCAGATGTGGGATGCCAGAGGTAACATGTAAATCACTCTTTCGTTCTACATAGTAGAATCACTTGATTTTCATTTAATTTTTTTGTTACTTTTTATTGTAAAATAATTTAAGTTAACAGAAAAGTTGTTAAAAATAGTATACCCAGATTTCCCAGTTGTCAGCATTTTATTGGCTTTGCCTTATGACTTCTTCATACACATATAGACACAGTGTGAGATATTGTTTTGAAAGTAAGCTGCAGATATTCCATCATTACCTCTAGACACAGCAGTATGCATCACCTAGAAATGAGAACATGCTCCTGCAAGAATGTAAAAATGATACATCAGTTGAAATAAGGAAATAAGCACTGATATCGTACTGTTGACATTAATACTGTTTCATCCATTGACCCCACTTGACTCCTGGTGATTGCTCCAACAATGGCCTTTCCTTTTTGTTTGGAATCCCATCCAAGAAGACACATTGCATTTGTTGTCAAGACTTGATATTTTTGAAGCATGTATGTTCTAGATTTTTTTTTCTATTCACATACAAATATCTATATGATTTTTTTTAAATAAATGGGACCAAATTATCCATATATTTTTGAATAATGAAAGTTATTGTTGATGAAATATATTATTAATGAAAGCTACAGATTTACCTTATTCAATACTTGGTATAATAAACTTTAAAATGTTTTTGACTAAGTGATTGAATTATTTCTAGTGATTCTTTAATAATATATTATGTATATGTACTTTGATTATTTAATCCAATGGTTCCTAAAAGCATGGTGCAAGGACCCCTGGGGGCTACCTGAGACCCTTTTATGGAGTCCACCAATTGTTTTTCATGGTGATATTAAGATATTATTTGTCTTTTACTGTGCCTACAATATTGACAAGTGAAAGCAGTGGTGGATAAAGTGCTGGTGCCTTAGCATAAATCAAGTCTGTGGCACTAAGCTAGGTTAATCACTGCATTTTTCATCACCATACACTTGTCGTTCAAATAAAGTTGCAGTTAAGAATATCCTTGATGAAGCAGTAAAAGTTACTTACTTTTATTAAACTTACAAACTTTTATCAAACTTTAATAAAGTTACAAGTTTATTAAATCCTTTTAAAAAGAACTTTTTAAAATAATCTTGGTGTCAAGACATTCGGAAGTATATAGAAGCACTTGCGTTGCATACTAGGTTGGCCAAGAAGTTTATTTGAGTTTTTCCCTAACATCTTACAGAAAACCCAAATGCCTTTTTTCGGCCAACCCAATACGATGTTTGTCTTGAAGAAATCACTTGGGTAATTCTTTGAGTTGTTGAGTTAAACTAGTTACTTTTTTCCTGTAACACCAGTTTTACTTGAAATGACATGGTAATTCAGACTTGTGTATTTGGCAAATATTTTCCCAAAAAAGAATAATTGAACTTGTGACTCTAAGGAAAACAATTGACAGCATTTCTTGCCTCAATCTGATAAAACTGAAACTTTCAAGTGAAAATTAGCATTTTGGAAAACGTAGCCTGTTACTGTCAGATTGACAACATGACTTTTCTGGTGAGATAGTGGTGTTATTTGCAAATGTTGATTTTTAAAAGTATTGTCAAATTTGTGTAATGTGTAACTTATGAACTAATATAAGTTAATGAACTTAACTGTGTGACTTAACTAATCTGTGTAATTTAATGAACTAATATTTTCCAAATATCTAATGGATAAAGTTGCAAAGTAATGTACAAGTAAAAAATCCAGTCAAAATGTAAGATCAATCAGTAAATTTTAATGAGAAGGAAATGGCAACCCACTCCAGTATTCTTGTCTGGAGAATCCCATGGACGGAGGAGCCTGGTGGGCTACATACAGTCCACAGGGTCGCAAAGAGTCAGACACAACTGAGCGACTTCACTTCTTTACTTCATAGAAGTTGTGGGTATGATTAAAGATTCCACATTACAACTAGCCTTTAAGAAACTATCACTGTTTGAGTTTTAATGTAATATCAAAGAAGAATATTCATGAAAAGGCTATTTAAAAATTTTTCCAGCTATTCTGTGTGAGGCTGGATTTTCTAAATATATTTTAACCAAAATGATATATGGCAAGAAGCAGAATGTGAGAATCCAACTGTCTTCTATTGAGCTAGATATTAAAGAGACTTGCAAAAATGTAAAATAATGCCATACTTTTTGCTATTTTTTTTTTTGCTTTGGAAACTATAATCTTTTGTGAAAAATGATGTTAACATTAACATGATATGAGTGATTTTACTTTTAATGAACAGATAAATTTTTTAAAATCTCTCAGTTTTAATTTCTGATATGGTAAATACGAATAAATATAACCTACAAAAAACAAAAGTTCTTCAGGGTTCTCAGTGATTTTTAGGAGTTTAAAAAGAGATAAGTGGAGAAGGAAATGGCAACCTACTCCAGTATTCTTGCCTGGGAAATCTCATGGTCAGAGGAGCCTAGTGGGCTACAGTCCAGGGGGTGGCAAAGAGTCAGACACAACTTAGCAACAACAGCAACAGCAACACACAGTCAGGTAGATTGGTGATTTGGGGAAATACCTCTTGATGAAAATGTGGCATAAAGCAGAGAGTGATATGACTTAGCAATATGGAATATGGAGTTTTGTAAGAAATTAAAATATGTGTAGAATGTACTATGCTGTGCTTAGTCGCTCAGTTGTGTCTGACTCTTTGCGACCCCATGGACTGTAGCCCAGCAGGCTCCTCTGTCCATGGGGGTTCTCCAGGCAAGAGTACTGGAGTGGGTTGCCATGCCCCCCTCTAGGAGATCTTCCCAACCCAGGGATTGAACCCAGGTCTCCCACGTTGCACGTGAATTCTTTACCCTCTGAGCCACCAGGGAAGCCAATGTATGGAATGATTGTTCCAAATATTCAAATAATAAGGTCTGTGGCTAAAGAGAAAAAAAAAATAAAATGAGATCAGAAAATTTGAGAACTACTGATTAGATCACTCCATGCTGATGGATTTCAAAGTTGTGTCCGGTTTTTCACTCTTGTAAACATTGCTGCCATGTGCTTTTTTTCCCCTCACACATGTGTGATTTTCTCAGTAGATAACTTCCTAGAAGTGCTGTGTTAAAAGGATAGGTACATCTTCAGTTTTAGATGTTGACAAATTGCTTTCTAACATAGTCGTCCTAATTTTCCCATAGTGGATGAAAGTAACCTTTCCCTATTAGTAATTACTATAGCCAGTTTCATAAATTAAAAGATGGTTTTACATTAAAATTTTTTGCATTTTTCAAATATCATTTGGGTCAAGTGGTAGAGAATCCACCTGCCAATGCAGGAGATGCAGGTTTGATCCCTGGGTCAGGAAGATCGCCTGGAGAAGGAAATGGAAACCCAAGCAGTATTCTTGCTTGGAAAATCCCATGGCCAGAGGATCCTGGGGGGCTCCAGTCCATGGGTTGCAAAGAGTCAGGCATGACTTAATGACTAAACAACAGCAACAAAAATTATTAGTAAAATTGAATATGTTTTCATGGCTATTAATCATGTTTTTTATTTTATAAAGTGCTTGTATATCATTTTGTCCTGTTTTGATGCGTGGACCATCTTTTTCTTAACATATTTGCAAGAGCTCTTAGGAAAAAGTAGCTTCTGATAGTCAAATAGTGCTGCAGATAATTTTCTCAGTTTCCTTTCATTCCATGAGATTAGAATATCAGAGTTTTTTCCCCTCGTTACCACATTTACTCACCTTTTCTTTTCGGTTTTGTGTCATTTGTAGATCTCACCTACACCAAGTTATAAAAATACTTTTCTGTATTTTCTTTGCCTGATTGGTGATTTTTAACCAGTTTGATTTAAATTAAACCCATCTTGGAAATGTGACAGCTCAATTTTAATACTAATCTAAATAGGACCTGTGATTGCAAGTAATAGAAACTTGAATATTTCAGAGGAAAATTTAGTTTAAAGATGATGAATCAATTTAGAGATGTAATGTATTTCTCACACCCCACTGCCTTAACCTCCTAGTACTAATACTTCTTTTTATCTATTATTTTTCTGTAGTTGAGGAAACGTGTGAAACTTGAAGGGAAAGAACTTGAAGAATACTTGGAAAAAGAGAAACTAAAGAAAGAAGCTGCTAAAAAGCTCGAGCAGTCAAAAGAGTAAGTTGTTTTCAGGCAGATTGGAAGTTTAATTTGAGAACTTATTTCTACCAATAGTGTGTAATTGAAAATATTTAAACTTTTTTTGACTTTATTGCTTTCAATACATCTTTCCAGTGGTGCTAGAATTCTAAATTCTTTTCAGTGCTAATGTTAACATGTATTTATTAATTGGCCTGTTATTAATTGGCAGTTTACACTGTATTTCACGAGATAGTAGTCCAATAATACTATCATTATCACTGAATTATCATTGATGGTTAATTTAAGATTAAGGTTAATTTAAGATTAATTTATAAATATTAACTAAAAATCATTTGGGGACTTGCTGATCTGTACCTTTTCACAAACTCCCTTAGGGCAGACATAGATTCCAGTGATGAAAGTGATGCTGAGGAAGATATTGACCAGCCCTCAGCACATAAGACCAAGCATGACCTGATGATGAAAGGTGAAGGCAGTCGCAAAGGAAGTTTCTTCAAGCAGGCTAAAAAGTCTTATCCTATGTTTCCTGCCCCAGAAGAAAGAATTAAATGGGATGAATATGGAGAAATTATCAAGTACGTGAGCAAAACAAGCTTTTCTTGCTTCTAGATTGGAGGTAGTAACTGTTGTCGCTTGAGCTCAATGGATTTTGTCTTTCTGGTTATCATGTATGTAGTTTCTGAGTGTCTCAGCTTGAAAGATACAGAAAGCTTTTAATTTTAAAATGTAAAAATAGAAAGGTTGAGGAACATCTAGAAAGCTAATATTAAAGGAGAACTGATAGTTTTATTACTTAGGTATGTGCAATGTTTTAAAAAGATGATCACTACTCTTTCCCCTCTCCCCACTTAAAAAGAGAGGTGAGGGTCATGCAGGGCTTCCCAGGTGGCGCTAGTGGCAAAGAATGCCAACGCAGGAGATAGAAGAGACGTGGGTTCGATCCCTGGGTGGAAGGATCCCCTGGAGGAGGGCACGGCAACTCACTGCAGTATTCTTGCCTGGAGAATCCTGTGGACAGAGGAGCCTGGCAGGCTGTGATCCATAGGGTAGCAGAGTCGGACACGACTGAAGTGGCTTAGCACGCACACAAGGGACATGCATTGGAAAAAGATGTATGATATGAAGAACTTTTGACAGCTAGAGTTATGTTAAGTTGGGGAAATGGGTTATGTTTCAAGTAGTATTGCACACGTGTTTTAGTTTCAAGAGGAAAATGAGATACCATGAGTGGAACCATGGAAAATCTACCCTACACCCACTATTAGAGGAAACAACTGAAATCATATGTTCAAATCACAGACTTGAAAACACTACTGTCCTGAATAAAGATCAGTAAATGTCAGATGCCTTAGCATAGTGCATGATGTCTTTCATAGTTTGGTTTCTCCCTACTTTCCTATTATATTTCTCTGTATTTCTGTTACATTAGTGTGTGTTCTCCATTCTTGTGGTACCAGCCTTCTCTCGGTTTCCTCCTGCTCAGCCTTTTCTTTTTTTCTTAATTGGAGTATAATTGCTTTACAATGTTCTGTTAGTTTATGCAGTATAATGAAGTGAGTCTGCTACATGTATACATATATCTCCTTCCTCCTGGCCTCCCTCTGACTGCCCCTCAACCCCACCCATCTTGGTCTTCATGGCTACGCAGCTTTTTCATGTCGTGTGTTTACACATTTCTTTCCTTCAGCCTTGTTCACCTTCCTACCCCAGGCTTTCAGGCTGCTGAGTCTGGCCTCACAAACTGGAAAGTTTCCCTCTTCTCCCCCGCCACCCCAACGCAGTTAGCTCCCTCTCGTACCTTCTTTGTTCTCCTTTAATGGTATCTTGAGCATATGGTTTTAGGTCATCCTTGGATTTAATTAGGAAAATTCTACTGTTTATTTGGCCCTTTAAAGTAGTAGGGAAAAAAGCTAACAATCTAAACAGTGCTGGAGAGTTTGCTTGCTGCTTCACTTAATTAGCGCCAGTCTGTTTAGCATATGGACAGGGCTCTTTAGCTTCAATTTTCTTATCTTAAAAATGGAGGTAAGAATAAAATAGGTTGTGCTTTTAAGGCACTCAGCATAGCACATGACTCGCAGTGAATGCACGTTAAGTGGTTGCTGCTTGCCATCGTTATGTGGCTTACAGGTGGCCATGTGCTGCGGTTGCTCTGTGGATTACAGTCAGAGATACTGGGCCCCTGCGGCCGTCCAGGTGCTGGTGGCAGAGGCCTGGATTGTCAGAGAGGAGTGTCAGGGGATTTGGGGCTAGGGCAGGATAAATACTGAGATCAGAGAGAATGTTTAAAAAAAAAGTTTGCCTTTTAATTTTAACATAGAACTCTCTCTGATACTCAAAAATAAATGTGCTAGTAGTTTGTTGAAATAAAAGTGAAGGCTTTTGAGGGAGCTAATGATTTGTATCTTGGTCTTCTCTGTAATAAGCAAAAATGGAGAGTCCTCTGCTTTCGTCAGGCAGTGAAGGAATAACGGGTGGAGGGGAGCGTCTTAGGGAAACTAAAGATCTGAGATTTGTAAGATGGAAAATTGACAAGAGAAACCACAGAAATAGAAAATGAATTACTGGAACAAAGGAAGGGCCAGGTTGCAGTAATACTTGTAGCAGCCACTAAGGTCTTTGAATAACCTGTCTGGATAGGGCCTTTTCACGCCTCACATGGTGTGTTTTAAAGTGTACTTGATGGTCACAAAGAACCTAATATATGCTGTCATTTGATTACTGAAATTGTGAAGTTGCATTGACTTTGGATCAAATGTATATTTGAATCTTGAGATATGTGAGAAGTCTAAAAATTATGCCATCTACTAATTAGTTGTATATATTAAATAATATTAGCTTGCTTGTTACTACTTCTAATTAGAGGCTTATTATTTAGACCAGAGGATTTCTTAGTGCCAGAACTTCAAGCTACTGAAGAAGAAAAAAGCAAATTAGAGTCTGGCCTGACAAATGGAGATGAACCCATGGATCAGGATTTATCTGATGTTCCTACTAAGTGTATTTCTACAACAGAATCTATTGAAATAAAGTAAGTGCTTTTGTTGCATTTTGCAAATAGATTACAAAGTAAAATTTTCAAGTACTCGAATTACATAATTGACATTATTTCAGAGGATATTTCTGAATATTCACTAGGAAGTTTGTGCTTAATTTTTTTTCTTCTTGTGATATATGGGAGTTTTTCCCTTTATTAATGATATTGAAATGCCAAAGTGAATTGGTGGTAAGGAGGGGGTTAAACTTCACATTGTACATTTATATGAAGAAACATTCTTTCTGGCATTTTTAGTAAGTCAAGTAGCAGGTGAACTTGTGTAATTCACAAGTTTAATTTTTCTAAGAGCTTGTTTAGTAAAATAAACACCTTGACTCAATTACCTCTAGGGCACTAATATCTTAAAAACACCACTGTGTTTTAAAAATACCATTTGTGAACCTTTTTTCCCCTTTCTGTTTAGTGCAGTTAACAGCAGCAAATGATCATTTTGGAATATATTTTTTTAAAGTTATTAGAGAGCAGAGTGGCTTATTTGTCTAGTAGTATCATTTAGTATACATTCTTGAGTATAGCTAAGAGCTTAATAATACATGTTAACAATATAACACAGGTATATTCTCAGATTCTCATGCTACATGTTGATACATTTCTTTCCTGATGATAAAAGCTATTAAAAACCTAATTTTAGAATGAACTTAACAGAAAAGGAAACTTGAATAATCATCTAATTACAGAGCCAGGGTTACTTACATAGACTATGAAGGACGCTCTGATGGGGATTCCATTAAAAAGATCATCAATCAGATGAAACCACGCCAGTTAATCATTGTCCATGGACCGCCAGAAGCCAGTCAGGATCTTGCAGAGTGCTGTCGTGCATTCGGTGGGAAAGATATTAAAGTATACATGCCAAAGCTGCACGAAACAGTCGATGCCACTAGTGAAACTCACATCTACCAGGTAAGCGTGCTGGCCTTCAAGCAGCAAGTCCTAGGGGGTGAGATTATTGGTGATTTCCAACTTCAGCTCCACATCAGGAGAGCTTTGGGGGAGTCAAGGGGGTTCATTGTTTTGGCCTTAGTCTCACTAGTTACATTAGAATCACTGGAGGTGGGACCCTGGCATCAGTAGAAAAGAAAATTTGCCATGTGGTCCCGGTGTGCAGTCGAAGTTAAGAACCTTTACTTCGGAAAGTAGACAGGGGCCCTAATGATCTACGGGTCATTGGGTCATTACCAGTTACAGTGAAGATCAGATGAGTGAAAGATTTTAAAACTTTAATCACAATACTAAAGTTAGAAAATTATAATAATAGGTCATATTTAATTGTCAAGTTATACTCTGTGGGCTTTATTTCTCTTTTTTCCCCTTTGCATCATATCTAGGTGAGATTAAAAGATTCACTTGTCAGCTCCCTTCAGTTTTGTAAGGCAAAAGATGCTGAACTAGCTTGGATAGATGGTGTCTTAGACATGAGAGTTTCCAAAGTGGACACAGGAGTTATTTTAGAAGAAGGAGAGCTAAAGGATGATGGCGAAGACTCCGAAATGCAGGTGGATGCGCCTTCAGATTCTAGTGTCATAGCACAGCAGAAGGCCATGAAAAGTCTGTTCGGAGACGATGAGAAAGAAACGGGTGAAGAAAGTGAGATCATTCCTACTCTGGAACCCTTACCGCCTCATGAGGTAAAAAAGCATGTGCTGCTTCTCCTCTCTCCCTTAATTTACCCTTTGAATTTTCCTTCTGTGTTTTTAACCATTTAAAATGTGTCATATGTAGACGCATTTTGAAGTTTTAAAAAAATTACTAAAGATAATGTCCCTGTGCCTGTGCGTGTGTGTCCTCTATGGCTAGAGAATCACAATAGTAGACAACCCTTTAGCAAATCTTCTTCTAAGACACGTAATTGTTTTATGACTTGTTTTTTCCAGAATAGATTTTTAAATGTTAAGTTTGATGATTGGGAGGGTCGCCTGTCTACTTCTGTTATAGTTAGGAGATTTATAACTCCATTTGTCTATGTTGCCTATTCAGTTGAACCACTTTTGTTTTTGATAGAGTTAGAAATGTTTTATTTAGTAGAGATATAGTTTTAGTTTGGTATTTTGTTTATGTGTTCTCAAGAGATATCTAGTTAACTGGCAGAGCTGTAAGATAGTTTAACGTACGATAATATTAAAAGCACATCATGAGAGTCTTACACGACTGTCCAGTGATATCTTTAGCCTTCTGTGCAATAAGGAATGAAGAGATGGCCTCTTTCATCAGATCCCCTTCTAGAACAACTCGAAATTGCAGGAAGGAATTAGGAACTTCTCTCTCTGCGCCAAAGCTGGCACTCTCCAAAACAGCTTCAAAGTAGCGGCATTACGTTGAACCACTTGCCTTTCTGATTCTAAAACCCACGGTGTCCACCACATTCACAGTGAGGGGGGACCGAAGTGGGACCAGGGAGAATTACCCTCTGAACTATATACAAAGGACTGGGATCTGGAAAATGAAATTTCAATTCAATTCTGCCTCCTGGCCCTCTCGTTGACCCCCTCCGGCAAGTGGGTGAGTGAAAAGTGTTAACATTATCAAACGTCTTTCTGTTATTATGAGGCATGACTAATAAACTTGATTGTGAAACATTTGGAAAATGTGAAGGGCTTTGTAATGTTAAATAAGGAGGTAAAACTCAGAATAACAACTAGGAATGTGATTTACAGACTTGAAATGATCTGTCAAAGGAATTCAGGGGATAATAGAAAATATCTTCAAGATCATGTGTTACTTCTCTTTATTCAGTGCAACTCTGTGTCTGGTGTTCTGTTTGAAATTCTTCTTTCCCCTTTAACTTTACCTCAGGTTCCTGGACATCAGTCTGTTTTTATGAATGAACCAAGACTGTCGGACTTCAAACAAGTTCTTTTACGGGAGGGGATCCAAGCTGAATTCGTAGGAGGCGTGCTTGTTTGCAACAATCAAGTGGCAGTCCGTAGAGTAAGTGTGTTTTTAGTAAGGAAGGGCTAAGTGAACAAATACTTCTGGTATTTTGTCATTTTGAATTCTGTAACTCTTGATTGAATTAATTTCATAAACTGGAAATCAGTAAGTTAAATTTATAATGATGACCTTGAAGACTTTTAAAAGGGACTGTCAATGATGTGATATATAATTTTATTGTAGATTTTATTATTTGAATCCTCTGACATTTATGTGTCTATGTAAAATTCATGACTGGAATATTATGTTCATATTCTGTGAATCAGAACAATCACTTCCTAATCAATCATAAAGTAACCTAGTTAATATGCTTTGGTTATCATGTCTGCATATTAATGGATAGAAGATGTACTAAAGAAATTTTTTTTTTCCACTTGGTTTCTAGACGGAAACTGGACGCATTGGATTAGAAGGCTGCCTTTGTCAAGATTTTTATAGGATAAGAGACCTTTTATATGAACAGTATGCCATTGTGTAAAGGACATGATGTCAAAAAGTATCTGCTTGACCTTTCTAAGAAAAAAGGATTCTTATTCTAAGCTTTTGCTTTTTCGTTTTGTAACATATAAAAAGAATCTGCCAGAAAAACTTAACATGCATTTGATTTTTAAAAATGTAAATAGAAACCATATTGCTAATGCTCAAATGAGCATGCTGCCTTTTGGCTTTCAGAGTGTCAGCGATCCTTACAAGTGCATAGGCCTTGGAGTTGAAGGTAACTGGCTTCCTTTACAGACCCCTTATTTTAGAAGGGCTTTTACTTGAATTAAACAATGCAACTTAGCAACCCGTTCATGGCCTTAGAGAAGCATGTTTGCATGAATTCTTGCAAACAGTTTCTTATATTTTCTGGAATGAAAAGTAGGAATTTCTTTTAAAAAGATGTGCTGTAAAAAAAGCAAACTGATAAAACAGTTTTTTGAGGCCTATGTATTTAAAAAACAGAAAAACCAAGAGTATGTGCTGTAACTCTTGAATTCCTATATGCAGTTTTCTTCATGTGGAGCCTCTCTTCTCCGTGGCATGTTTCCCAGTGATTCATTTCCGTGAAATAGGGTACATTTGGTTTAGAAGTCAGTTTTTATTTCCCCCATTTCTTATTTTATAAAGATTTTGTTCCTGTTATTGTTGTTCAATTTGAATTATAACACTGTCATTTGGATATATGTAACTGAAAAAAAACTAGTCTTAAAGGTCTTACATATGTTTAAACACATCTTAACTCACAGCTTGGTTACTGTATTGGAGACTGTTCAGTGCTTTGCTTTCAGGGGAACAAATGTTGAACCTCACATTTTTATAAGGTAACAGTATAATTAAGAGATGTAAATGTGTTCATCTCTTAGGCTCACTTTCTCCTAAGGTTGCCCAAACAGTGGTTGAATTTTATACACGTTGCTACAAAAATAATACTGAAGTTGGACAAGACCATCCTTTCTATGTTCATGTCTTTCTTGGGGCCAGCAGCCTTGATACAATGTAAACCACTTGTGTTTAAGAGTAAAAACAGTACATGCAATTTGCATTTAACTTAAAAATGAAAATCATGTCACCGTGTTGTTATCTGTTGGTGCTTTTTTTAGAATGTAGCGTGATCATGACACACCTTGATGTTTACTTCTTAATTATTTAACCCTCCTCTCTCTACACTTCAGCATTTTTAGAAGAATCAGTCTTGTTTAACTTATATGGAACTATGTATAGTACAACCCAGTGATAGCAGACAAGAATTAATATTTCATTCTGTTTCAAATACTTACAGAGCTCTTACTGTGAGTTAGATTGCTAATGCAAAGTTTACAGCCTTCTGGTACTGAAAACCAGATATACAAAACAATGTTACAGGTGATGAAGATAAAGGGTATTTTTTTTGTAGAGCTTTGAAAAAAAATCACTTCAACTCTTACTGCTGAATAGAGTAAGCCTAGAAATCTATTTATATTCCAGAGAAAAGAAAGTCTGCACTTGTTTGATGGCTTAAAGCATCAGGTTATACATATTACATTGCAATACTGATATTGAAAAATCATTTTTTGCTTTGTCTTTTTATTGTCCTATGAACGGGGATTAAATTTTAAAGTACTGCTTGAAGATGGCTGTGCTAACTAATGTCAATTCAGGAGCAATGTTTTCATCTGTTTCTAGATGACAGTATTACTAAAATTTCTAAAGTGAAGACATTTGTTAAGTCTCAGTTGCTTAAGAAAAATGTAAATTTTAAAAAGGATTCTGAGATAAATCATGAGCTCAGAAGAACTTTCAGATTATCATTTTTCAGAAGCAAACTAAATACAATGGACCATCAATTGATATCTATAAATAATTTGGTTTAAAAGAAATTTTACTCTGAAATTCATGTCAGTGGGATTATAAATGTCAAATATTACAAATTTTTTTTTTATTTTCATGAACCAGTAGGTGGCCTGAAACAAGTGAGGAAATCAGTTTTCTAAAGAGGGCCTTTACCTTTAAAAATTGTTTTTAGATACAATTCACATACCTTTAAAATTCACTCTCTTAAAGTAACATTCATTGGGATTTTTTTAGTATATTTGCAAAGTTGTGCAACCATTACCACTGTCTAATTCCAGAACACTTCATCACCCCAAAAAGAAACATCATACTCATTAGCAGTCACTCCCCATTCCTACTTCTCAACTCTGGGCAACCATTAATCTGTTTTCTGTGTTTATGAATTTACCTATTCTGGATAGTTAAAAAAAATGGAATCATACAGTGTGTGGCTTTTTGTGTCTGACTCTTCACCTGGCATAACTTTTAGGGTTCATCAAGGTGTAGCATGTATCAGTAGGTTTTTTGTGGCTGAATAATACGCCGTGTAGATGGACCACATTTTGTTTAGTCCATTCATTGGTTGAGAGGCATTTGGTTTGTTTCCAATTTTTGGCTCTAATGAATAATGCTGCTCTGAATGAATATTTGTGTTCAAGTTCTCGTATGGGCATATGTTTTCAAACTAGAGTGGCATATACCTAAAAGTAGACTGGCTGGATCATATGGTAACCCTGTGTAACCTTTTGAAAAATTGCCAGACCATTTTCCAAAGTGGCTGCACCATTTTCCATTCCTCCCAGCAGTGTATGAGGATTCCAGTTTCTCCATGACCTTGGCAGCACTGATGAACCATCATCTTACTTTACCATTTTAGTGTGTATGAAGAGGTATCTCATTGTGGTTTTGATTTCCATTTCTCTAATGACAGATGATTTTCTTTCTTGTACTTATTGGCTGTTTGTGTATCTTCTACGGATAAGTATCTGTTCAGGTCCTTTGCCTGTTTTTAAATTGGGTTATTTATGTTTTTATTGTTGAGTTAAAGAGGTTTTTTTTTTTAATGTACTCTGGATACTAAATCCTTAACGTATGTGACTTGCAAATATTTTTTCACATTTGTAGACATTTTTTTCCCTCTCTTTATGGTGTCCTTTGAAACACAAAACTTTTAAATTTTGATGAAGTCTAATTTATCTTTTATTTTTTAGTTCCTTGTACTATTGGTGTTGTATCTTAGAAACCCATTGCTTTATCCATTGTCATAAAAATTTATGCCTATTTCTTTCCTAAGAGTTTTGTGGTTAAATATAGTTCTTATATTTAATTCTTTGATTCATTTTGAGTTAACTTTTATATATGATGTGAGGTAAGGGTCCGATTTCATTCTTTTGCACTTGAATATCCAGTAGTGCTGGCATCATTTGTTGAAAGACTTTTCCTCATTAAATTTTCTTGCCACTTTTGTTGGAAATCAGTTGCCTGTGAATATATGACTTTCTTCTTAGAGTCTCAGTTCTGTTTCACTGATCTATCCACATCTATCTGTGGATATCAGATATCTGTGGATATCTATCACCCATCTATCCACATCTATCTGTATGCCAGTACCAGATTGTTAGGAATGCAAGAGATTTCTGTGTGTTAATTTTATATCCTGCAACTTGACTGTATTCGTTGATTAGCTCTAGTAATTTTCTGGTAGAGTCTTTAGGGACCAGATTGTTTTGAATACTAACTGCATCAAGTTTTTAAGTCAGCAAGTGTACATCCTCCAACTTTTTTCTCTTTCAAGATTATTTAGGCTATTCTGGTTCCCTAGCATTTTCATATGGATTTTAGAATTAGCTTATCAATCTCTGCAAAAAAAAAAAAGCCCTCTCACTTTTAATAGGGAAATAAGCCCTCCAAACTTTTAATAGTTGGAATTTATAACTTAAAATCTTAGAACATTAAGGCTGAGTGGGACTTTAGAATTCATCTAGTTCGACACACTTATTTCAATGTTGAATGAATGGGCCTGTGGAAGGGAAGGGATTTGCTTAAGTCAGGTAGCTGGTCAGAGACAGAGGTGGAATTGGAACCTAGCCGTCATAGAGTTCATTCATTTGATACTAAATGAATCTAGAACCCTTGTAGAGTCCACTAATTCAATACTAAAATAAGTATGTTGAACTAGATTAATTCTGCAGTCTGAGGTTTTAAGCTGTAAATTTCAACAACTTTTTTTTCCTGCACTGCTGTACTACCCTGGTTCCTTAGTTATATTCACTTCGCTTAGGGGGAATATGTTCACTTTATCTGCTGTAAGAACAGCGTGAACAATAGTTTACTAAGAGAGGACTGCTTCCATCCTGTGTGATGGCCAGTAAAGGTGGGGCGGGCGGGGTGGGGCAGATAGGGTGGGGACAGAAAGGGTGAATGTTACATCCTGTACTTTTCTTTGGTTTTAAGGTTCTAGAGGTTTAGATAAAATAAGGTTATTGTCCTTTAAATATTGATGAACTCATTACCACTTAAGGGGTGTAAGTGGTGGTTGGTGATTGAGAGGTCAGTTGTTTGCTTGTTTGGGTGGTGGTTGCTCCCCACCACCCCAGCCCCTTGTTTATCCAGCCATGTGGCATCTAACAGAGTGGATGGATATGTGATGATACATGGAACTAGAGAAGGAACCTTCAGATCTGCTGCCTGGGTGAGGATCAAGGGAAGGTTTTTCTCCTTCTTGTGCTTTTTCTCTCACTCTAACCACCTTAATTATGTTTATGAGAAAATACCCCAGATTGTCAAAATAAAAATGGAGGACTTTGCTGAAAGTGAGGGTATCTTTGTTTCTCTCTCCCATCCATCTCTACGCCCACCTCCCCCACCACACACACACCCTCACAGCTCTAGTTTTTGGTGCTTTTTCCTTCATTACTCAAGTCCATCTCATTTTAGTTCTTGAAGTTAAAATGTGATTTCGAGGAGCAAAGTAGTAGCAGTTTGGAGAGTTTTGCATCTCTCCTCATTGTTGAAGAGAACCTCAAGTGTATGTGCTTCTTTTGTGACACTGTTACTGGATTCCGTGGATCCTACTCAGACTTGATACTGAGTGATAATTTCAAGTGGAGAATACACAAAGCATTCATAAGGCTGTACTACATCACTTTCTGAAGTTATTTTTAATGTTCAGTATCCAATTTTTCATATGTATTTCCTTTTTTCCACCCTTGGCACAATTGTAATTTTTTTTGAAAGTGAAAGTCACTCAGTTGTGTCCGACTCTTTGGGACCCCATGGATTGTAGCCCACCAGACTCCTCTGTCCATGGGACTCTCCAGGCAAGAATACGAGAGTAGGTTGCCATGCCCTCCTCCAGGGGAATCTTCCTGACCCAGGGATCAAACCTGCCATCTCTTACATCTCTCCTGCTTTGGCAGGCAGGTTCTTTACCACTAGCAAAAGACACTATTAATTGTTCATTGGAAACTAGTGAAGGCTTGAAACAAATCTCTCTGGGAAGCTGTTTTTATTCTAAGTGTGCTGCTGCTGTCCTTGTTTATTTTTGGAGCTCTCATTTCTCTTCAGAGAAACGTACCAGGCTTATGAGAAATGTAATTTATTTCAGAAACACATTGTGGCCTTGGCCCAACATACACCATTACCATTTGACTCTAAAGGATTCCCCTCGCCCCCGCAAATATTTAAAAACTTTTCTTTTATAAACAGACATTTGCTATCATAGAAGATTTTTTATGTTAAAGAGTTATCTATTAAATACCAAATTATAATTGAAATAAATAGTGAAATATACCACAAATCATAAAGATACTCATAGTTTGGGTTAAATTTCATACTTAAGTATCAAAGGATGTATGTCTCTGATGAGATTATGGAAATCCTGTTATAAGAAAAATATTACTTTAACCTAGATGTACAGGATTTAAATTCTCAAGGTTTCTCAATATCTCCCATATGTAATTTTTTTTTTTTAAGGAGACAGACATTGTAGGAAGAAAGATGTCTAATGAGAAAGATTCAGTTCAGTCACTCAGTTGTGTCCAACTCTTTGTGACCCCATGGACTGCAGCAGGCCAGGCCTCCCCGTCCATCACCAACTCCTGGAGTTTACTCAAACTCATGCCCATTGAGTCAGTGATGCCATCCAGCCATCTCATCCTCTGTCGTCCCCTTCTCCCGCCCTCAATCTTTCCCAGCATCAGGGTCTTTTCAGATGAGTCAACTCTTTGCATGAAGTGGCCAAAGTACTGGAGTTTCAGCTTCAGCATCAGTCCTTCCAGTGCACACCCAGGACTGATCTTTAGGATGGACTGGTTGGATCTCCTTGTAATCCAAGGAACTCTCAAGAATCTTCTTCAACACCACAGTTCAAAAGCATCAGTTCTTCGGTGCTCAGCTTTCTTTATAGTCCAACTCTCACATCCATACATGACTACTGGAAAAATCATAGCTTTGACTAGATGGACCTTTGTTGGCAAAGGAATGTCTCTGCTTTTTAATATGCTGTCTAGGTTGGTCATAATATTCCTTCCAAGTAGTAAGCATCTTTTATTTTCATGGCTGCAATCACCATCTGCAGTGATTTTGGAGCCCAGAAAAATAAAGTCTGCCACTGTTTCCACTGTTTCTCTATCTATTTGCGGTGAAGTGATGGGACCGGATGCCATGAACTTTGTTCTCTGAATGTTGAGCTTTAAGCCAACTTTTTCACTCTCCTCTTTCACTGTCATCAAGAGT